TGAATGCCATTTTGAGTTCATGTATTATAATTTTCTTGAAGACTATAGATTTGATTATTGCTGAAATAAGAATTACTATTTCCAGGATCGAAAACCAAGTCGCCTTTATCCGCTGTTTGTTTATTGTATTTAGAAATATTATTTTCTTGATTTTTTTTCAAACTTAGTTACGGTTGTCTTTCAGTATCAATATTGCTTTATGATTTACTAAAGACAGAACTGAAAGTTATACTTAACTCTCATCAAAAGTTAATGATGTAAATTAAAAATGCTATGATCTTCATCAATCCGTTACAAACTAGCGGGAAAGATGTCAATCAGAAAGACGTTGACATTTTACGCTTATTTTTTTCCCCCTCACCTATAGATGAAAATTTTAAAACCATGTCGATTAATCTATCATATCAACGAAAAAGTAACATCTCCTTGTATAATATCAGAACATTACAACGTAAGTGCTAAGAGTACAGAAAAGTACACATCAAAACGTTGACTATAAAGCAAAAATCGATTTAATCATGAATATCTGTCTTGTACTGTGCATGATTAGTAGCATCAATTAAAATACAGTATAGCAATATAACAATAGCGCTAAAACGGATGAGGATGACGATAGTCGATTTTGTCTACCTTCTTTCTGCATCAATAAGGCATAGATAGAATAGGTTTAATGCGTCACAAAATAGAATTCATAGTAAACTGTTTTTTGCACGATGGGATGGTAATAAAGTTGTAAGGAGTATAATTTTGGCAAAGCATTGTGTGTCTCTATGTAGGCTTTTTTTGCTCTTGTCTCCATTGACGTATTACATCGTATTGATGAAGAACAACAGCCATTTTTTCAAGTAGTTATTAAATTAAAGTTTCTTGTATTTATTTTATGATTAAGTAGGCTTGTATATACGTGGATATTGGATAGAGAAGTTGATATTGGTCATACTGTATCTATTGGTTCAAATTGAAATCGAGCTTAAGATAGCTAAAATTCTTTAGGTCAAATAGTTGAAAAACGAAAAAAGCAATCAAATGATATCCATACATACTGTACATTTACAGTATCCAATCCTATCGATTTGCATATCTTGGCATTGATTAAGTCAAAATTTCGATTCTTTCCTCACCGAGTAACAACAATGACAACAATAATAAAATGTTATATAAGCTGATATGATAAAGCAATTCCAGGGTAAAATTAAACAGAGCCGACGAAATGACAAAGAACTTAATCGATGGAAAATATTGGAGCTTTCAAGGAGAAAAAAAAAAAATTGAATTAAGTTCTTGCATTCTCGCTGAGTGGTTATTGTCTAGCGTAACCATCTGATTTATTGCGTGGAATATTTTCGACTTTGTCTGCTTTTTTTGCGATTCTCTATTCCTGTGGATACAATAGTTGGTTTTTTTTTGACTAAAAATGGCAATTTTATATAGGATGAGAACTTTCATTTGAACGGATGATTAATTTCATATAGAGAGGTAGAAAAATGAATCAAGAATGTAAGAGCGCTAGTTTGTTCATTAAGTGACCATTGACAGTACTTAGTGCAATAGCGAGTGAATGGCGATCTTACAACTATCGCCTATCCATTGCAATTGAATGAAAATAAGAAGTAAAATAAGTGATACAACTGTCCTCCTGGGAATGCAACATATTGTATAATTGTCATCTTAGTAGTATAAAATACTCATCGGTTTAAATTTTCAAGTTCATCAATGAAATCTGATATAGAATGATGACGATAATTTTATTGAAAAAACTGCTGTATAGAAATGCACTTTCTTGACATATTATTGCTAAGTGAGATTAATTTAGAGAGGGAGTAATTTTAATGGTAGAGAGTATGTGTGATCGTTTTTGATTTTATCGTTAAATAGACGATAATGGATTTATTACAAGTTTTAGTCTGGAATTGTTTGGACGAGTTCTTATTGAGTAAGGTTAATTAAGTGGATCAATTTCAGAGTTGGAAAGATTTCATACAGTGATTATACATCTAAAACAATATATTGTAGTTGAATCAATCAAGGTAGGAAGCTCTCGTAAAGTTAAGCTCATTGAATTTATTATTTACGGCAATATTTTGATTTCTAGCGTTAACCTCCTTCCAAGGCTAATCAATAAAATGAATCCATTTCTCACGTCTAGAATTCAAGCAAACTAACTACTCTCGATGAAAGTCAAGAGCTTCGAATTAATACAACTGCGTCAACGATGGCAGGCAACTTCTTTTTTTTTTTTTTACCTTCTACAGCCTATGATAGAAAATATCCGTGATTCATACTGAAAGAATGAGCTGAGACTGATGCACAAAAATAAAGTAGCAAAAAAACAAACGATATCTGAAAGAGACTATCTCAATTTGGATCGGAGAGTTTTCTTCCATCTACCATATCCGTAGCTGGACTGTAATGCCGATGAATAAGATTGTAACTGTAGATAGAGAAAAGAAGTAATACTTTAGTCAGTATTGACTAGTGTATCAAGCATGAAATCGAAGTGAAAGCGGTAGAGAAAAGAATCATCATCCGCTTCTCCTAGACGAGTAGAATCAATCAATAGCCATCATGTCCATTCTCTAACTGGATAATAATATTAAATAACATGATGATCAATCTGCAGTTGTTGTTATTGATTTGAAGCTTATTTGACATTGTATTGAATGGACAACAATCGCCATAATTGAAAAGAGTCAAACAGACAATAGGTACATTCAAAGATATCCTCATCAAGTCGTCGGACTAAATTAAGAAATAAAAATTATGTAACTATATCAAAGTCATTTGTCTTGTTGTTGTCGTGCCGGAGCAACCAATTTCAAGGGTATATAAATAGGTAATAACATATCACCAATTTTGCGATTACCTGAATCACATACAAACAATACACATAAGGCCAAGTTGATTACTTTCAAGCCATAGGAAATTGACGAAGTTCCAAATTTTTTACCAATCAATCAATAATAAGGAAACGCCAACACTAACAGGACAAGATAGGACTCATTCCTATCGGTACGAATTATTTTTTGATCGCTTGATTTTTTGTAAAAGGCTAGTAACCAGTTGATGATTGACGATGGAGAGATTATTGAAGATTTGATTTTTTATTGGATCGCTGTCTAAAGTTGCCACTAATCCATCCGCTGATTTATAATTTATTGATTGACGATGGCTTTTTTTTGCCTTCATTTTTTTTTTTCCATTTTGACTACCATTTTATGATTGCATTAATCGAGGTCGATTTAAGCTTAAAAATATTGCTAGTAATTTTGATGTTAATAGAACTGCTCAACTTATCATACTTTCAAGACTAAGAAAGAGTGTATAAAAATTAGCGAACGAGTAAAAATCTCGACGCTATTACAATCACTCTAAAGGTAAAAATAAATCTATACTCTTACAGTAAAAATTAAAAACTTGGAATATTAGTCTTGATAACAAAAAAATAATAATAATACTGAGCACACACACACACACGCACATACATACTCATAGTGAAATTACAAATTAAAAGTATTTCTTGTTACTTAGCAGTAGGCACGAACTTTAGTCAAATGAATTCCGTAGCACGAATAAGTTCAATCATTTACTTATAAATATGAGATCAAGGTTGAAAAAGTACTTTATGCACATTTCAGGAAGAATATCATAGGTAATTTAAGTAAAGAAAAAAGTAAATCTTTGTGCGGTTAGTGAAATCCTTTTTAAGTGAAGTAAATTAACAAGGTATGAAAGAGATTGAAATCATGACGTTAACCATTCATTAGAAATAGTTTAATTAATATTCACGTTGTCATTCTCGTCTTGGGCATTTTTGTTGTAGTATTGCAGTACGCTTCTTTAAATACCTTTCAAGTCTTTTCAATCGATTACATTATTTTGGATTTTACTTCTATATTATGGATGGCACTATACGTATTTCAATTCCATATAATTAATTTGTACAATAAATTGGGATTTTGTTCAATCATTTTTTTTATCCTACATCCATGGATTTATCCTTACTTTTTTTTCTTAGCCTATTTTCCCTCCCTCTTAAATCAATATGACTTATGAAAGATTGAGTTTATTTGAACATCGTGTCTGTTTCGAATAAAATGTCATTGAAAATTGATTTGATAGTTGCATTAAAATTTAATATTCTCCTTGAATATAGTTAAGTCAAGAAAGCCCTACTTCAGACTATTACAAACTGTCATATTATCTGAAGAATACAAGATAAGGTATGATTAATGTAAGTCCAGTTGTCCAATCTTTCTCCTTCAATTAATCTTTAATCGTATTGTATTAGTAGGAAAGCATCAATCAATTTCGCATCATTTTATCTTTTATCCATATTAAAAGACTACCCGTTGGAGGTATCATCTCATTTCGCTCCACTAAATTAGGTACACTACCTCTGATTGTGCCTTTTGATCTGCTAAGCTGTAAAAATTGGTTTTCTGATTATTATTTCTACATATACATTCCTAATTAATATTGTAAGTTGATCAAATAGCCAATACTATCACATCGTGCGTTACTTTTATACTCTCTTTTATGTCGTCAATAGAGTGAAAAGTCATTAGTTCATGTGGAAAAATTTTTATCATTTTCTTTAGCTCATCTAATCGGATTTTGTAGCATAAATTGATTTTTTAAGATAGTAAGTGTGTGATTATTGATTGATTGATTGATCATCGCAATTTGAAACTACTATTACATACTAAATCAACTTTCATCAATAAGATTCATTTCTTACTTTTATAGATAAGTTTAAAGAGAACGCTGGCTATCCTCTATATCAAACTGATTCATTGGTCAACTTAATTTTACTCATTGCCGTTGGTAGAATTATTCATTTGTAAAAGCGCTTATCCAAGACGGTAATTATTTCCTTGGTATCGCAGAGAAAGATTATCGCCATTTACTTCTGGATCCTGTCACAAAATTACACTTTTTGGGCATTTGTATAGATAGTTTAGAAGTGAATGATCATGAATATTCTACGACCGAGCTGCAATATGATATTCAAGTTATTTGTTCTACTAGTATTAACCACAACATTAAATAAGGCTAACAGAACCGAGATACGCTTAGGCTATTTAGGCCCATCTGATTATGTCAGAACTGGACTCTTCAACGTAGGTGAAATTGGCGGTGCAGTCAGCGTCGCTGTTGATGATATTAATAATAATCCCAATTTACTACCGAATCATTACTTAACGTTTGTCTACAACGATAGTCGATGTAATGATAAGATTGGCTTACAAATGATCGAATGGCAAAAACGAGTATTAGGAGTGAATGCGTTTATTGGTCCAGCATGTTCGGTTGTATGCGAAGTTGCTGGATTATTAGCATCCAATTGGAAATTGCCTATCATATCTTATGTCTCAACTGCATCTGCTATGTCCAATCACGCTAAATACGATACATTTGCACGGACTAATGCTCCGCTTTCATTAGCTGTTAATGCCTTGCTTAAAGTCATGGATCGTTTTGGCTGGCGTCGATTAGGGATATTACGAGATTTTGGTGAAGGACGCGTTATATTTGGTCTTCTACAGTCGACATTGGTTGCAAAACTTGATGATCCATTAAATAATTATACCTTAAGTCAGTCTTTAACAGTGGATTTAGTTAATGGCAAAGACAGCGAAATCGATAGTTGGTTAAATCAATTGCGTCAAAAATCGAGAAGTAAGTATCTTTAAATTAATACGGTATTTTTTTTTTTAAATTGATTCAATCCATGTCGTGAGATTAAATATCAATGGTACACTTGAATACTGTTCCATTTACAGTTCTTTATGATTCAATTTCGTACGTAGCCCTTCATTTTTACATGAAGGGCATAACTTTAAAAATTGCAGTAATTACTACTTTATTGACAAAACACATTGAAGTGCAACGTTTTAAATTCAGCAGGGTATTAGGATCTAATTTCCATTAATGAACTTATTGTTGAATGTATTCTCTCTTCAATCTCTAGCTATTAATTAACACCAGTAAAACTATTCTTTTTCATATGCAGCTGCAGTATATATTTAATAGACTATACTTACAAGCTTACATTATTTTAGTTCTTTAATTGAGATATGGGATATTTTATAACAGCTATTACATTTTGATGCCTTTATGTATTCAATTATACTTCACTTTGAACCCCAATTTGATAATAATAAGGAAATGGAATTAGTTACAGCAAATTAATTTAAAAGTTAAAAGCTTGTATAGAGAGAGAGTGTGTGAATGAGGGAGGAAATGCAAGTAGACGCTATAAACTAACGAATAACGATAACAATATTAAGGATTTTTTTAACAAATTGATGAATCATTTCTTAAGTGAAACATATGATCTCGACATAGTAAAATATCGATTTTATGTCAAGCCTACTTCCAATTTGTTCGCATTTACAGCATTATGCTGTATTTATCGTACACTTATGATGTACACCATAAACTATATTTTGAATCCTTTACATACAGTAGATGCATTATTAACATTTTTTATCCTCTTTGCTATGACCTCCGTTAATTATATTTTTATCATTTAAGATAAGCCTCACGATGGCTATCACGACAAATTGGATAAATGCTAATGAAAATGATTCAGTACTTTTTTACTTAACCTTTATAACATTATGGACCGTACTTTGGTCTATTTTCGTTATTTTCTTTAGTATTTAACGGCTTTTCAGTTATTAATGACGATAAGTTCGTTTTTTCCCAGTATCTATCATTTTGTTTTTATTTTATTTAATTCATGCTGATTGATATAAATAGATGATTTAGAGCCTTTTATTAAGCATGTAGGAAACGAAAAATAATGTAGAATGCGCGACTGCTTTATATACTTTATACTGTACATTGGAGTCAGCATAATACGAGTAATTAAACTAAGCCAATCTCCTATAGAGAAACGTTGTAGATTACGATACTGCAAAGTTATAGTAAAAATCAAAGTTAGGATATAATTTATTTGTTGTAAATCCGTTTTTGTAACTTTGGCAAATTATGAGCGATAGAATCAGACTTAAAGAGAAAAAGATACTGCATTTTGTAATAGTTAATATTGAGAAGAAATTTTATCAATTCTTTAACTTGCTTACGGTAGACCCTCTACTAGACTAGAAGGACAACACTACAACAGGAGAAAATTATCTTTTATAGGGATAGATTGTGTGTAATGGGGACAAAATTTTACCAACCTAGAACGAACCCCTAAGGATTTTTTCTGACATTTCTCCCACTTCCCTTCTTATGCTTTGAAAGGATTATTTAGTTAACTATCATCATTGACACAGTAAGAGCAAACTGTTTTTTTATTTTTTCTCAATTTTTACATATTATCTAATCACCATCGTTGTAGCGTTTATTATATAGACGTTTTATTTTCGTACATTGACTCAAAATAACAATAAGTAGGTTATGCTGTTAATGTTAACTCAAGAAGAATACAGTATTGTTGAAACTTAAAAGGAAGTTATTAGATTTATTATGCTAGTGTTTGCCTTGTTATAGCGCTTGCCTGTTTTTCAACTCTTATTTGTCAAGAACACTAGCCCTATACAAGACTATTAGCTCTTCATAAAAATGAAAATATATGACTGAGTGAAAAAGTGAATTGTTAGTCATGACAAATGGTTAGGATATGATAGATGGCTCTATTGTCATTTTACAAATCACTAGCTGTTGAAAATAGAAGAAAGAGTAGAATAGACCGAAAACAACAGTAGATGTTTCAAAAATAATTTTTATCTAATTTGTCATCTCTGGATGCAATGTTATGATCAGGTTTTATTGGTTTATTAATATTTTTGGTCTTTTTTTATCCACACTAGTCCTTCCATTTTGAGTTATGTATTGCATTTGATAGGTAAAGTGAATTTACACCTAGTAACCTATCATCAATGTAGCGAAAACTAGATCTTCAATTTTGATAGGGATTCAATATTGCACAAGGTAATAGTCTGAAAGAACAATCTGATAAATGCTGTTGAGGGAATTGCGGATAGTATGCGAAAGTTTATAATACTGTATTAATCGATGAACTTAAATACGGTGATGTGATGATTGAACAGGTTATATTCGTAATCAATTTGAGGAATTATCTGAACTAAATTTAGTATTAACTCAATGGCATGCTGTAACTATGTAGCTTGAAGTTGAAGGTTGTCTTGAAATTTTATCCTTGAACAAAATCGGTCTTCCTTTTGAGAAATTTAGATTCAATCCGGTTGCAACGGCGTACTGCCTGAAACTAATACGTTAATGTCTATAAACTTTTGAATCACTGTCAACAATCATACTAGTTATGTAATAATGTTAAAGTTAACGTACTATTAGTCTTTGGGATGAAAGTTATCGATTATTAATATATCCATGCGACAACAAGGGATTGGAATAGAAGTATTTGTTACAAACTATAATTTGCATTGCAATTATTTATCGACGCAAAGGAAAGGCGGGGTAGAATGTCTATCTAATCCTTTTATATGACTCGATTATTATATAATAGTCTATGACAAGACAGTACTGTATCGTCGTTAGGAGAAGAAATAGAGAGGCAATTAAAACTAGTCTCAACATCGTAAACGTAAGAAAAGTTATAATTTGTTGTAGTCGTAGTTGGATTTGTAATCTAGATAGTTCAATCTGTCTCTATCTTGTATTCAATGAAAACTCTATGACTACAATAAAAGTAATATGAGGACTATTACTTTTTGTTAAGACAGAAATGGATAACCGCTACTATAATTCTATTAAAGAATTAACGATGGAGTAAAGTATTTGAATATGTGACTTTTCTTTCTTCAAGATACCAGTTGTAATTCGAGTGATTTCATTTGCATCCATAGTCTTCGTTATACTCTAGATACCGATGCAGAATAATTATTAGTAGCCAATCTGCGAATTGCTTATATCGTGAGTAATATTTTGTATATTCTCCAGTTTAGATGAATGACTAAATTTAATTATAGGTTCCTTAGTTAAAAGTTTAACTATTAATCCTCACTAAATCATAGTTTGCACATTAACAGTAATAAGGACCGCCCGCCGCGATCTCATAGGCATTGTTGGAAAATCGACAATTATGTTATACTTGATCATGAATAGATGAAAATTATAGTGAAGTTTAACTTTGCTCCTTAATGAAATTAATGATTGCACCAACTTCCTTAATAAGCTAAACTTGATTTCAAAAAGAAATACTCCTGGTAAAATTAGTTTAGAGTGTAATATTAGGCAATATACCACCAATTATCAATACAGTCTATCAGATTATCATGAAAACACAAATCAAACATGAAGTATCGTTGACTTTCTATCAAATTTTTAGTCAGATTGAGTAAATAAAGCTTTGATTTTTAACAAAATTAGTTGCAAAATTATTAGCTATACTTATAACCTTAATATCACTAATTGCTGAAAGGTACTATCAAAATCTTAAAAAGTAGTGTGTTATCTATGAAAATGGAAACAGAGACTTTGTAAATCACTAATAGCCTGGACAATTGATCCTCTTTTAATATCTGCTTCAATTGCTTCTCCTAAGGAGTAATTTTTTGACAGTTTATCAAGTGATTATCTTTAAAATCGAATTATTTATTTGGAAAGATAAATTAGAATTGATTTATCTGTCATATAAACTGGAAAGTATAGTGATTATATCCATCTTAATACAAATAGTATTACATAGTCACTTAGAGATATACTTTTAAATCCTGTTTCTAAGGAGTAAGAAATATTGATCTTCATTCATCAATTAATATATTACTACGAGTATGAAATAAAGCGATCATTTTGCTAAATATGTAACGGAAGGATCGATTCTTAGGTGACAAAGTAATTAAACTGAGTAATCAGATAGGCTTACTTCTAGCATCGATTCTTAGCTATAGCATCTTTCATTAAGTTGCCTTATTTAAATTAAGTTATCAAAGTTGCCCCGGTGACCAAATAAGAGTAACATAACAAACATCGATGCAGTTATTGTTTGATAAAATATCTTTCATTCGTCTCGTGACTACGTAATTTACTATGTAAAGATAGTCTATACAACGATAAAGGCATAACAGTCAAACAATAATTTAAATTAAAATGTAGGCTATTACATTGGGAAGAAATGTTATCTTACGTCTTTATTGAAAGTACGATTGAAATCTACTACATCCAGTATGCAGTATAACTTCAACTAGGACTATAACATGTGAGCTAATAATTCAATGTAGTATCCGTCTAACAGCATCTACTATGGGATATACTGAATTGGAAAGATTAAAAACTAAAGCCTAAAGGGATTAAGACAAAACCTTGCACTGTTCAACGCATAAAATTAACATTGGATCCTAGCTATTAAGTAACTAGTAATGATAAGAGCAATAATCGGGATGATTTAGACGACACATGACAAAAATTTCCTATTTAAGCCAGATACTTTATCACTATCGTAAATCGTATATATCTTTAGACGGATTGCATACAATTAGTAATTGTTACTAGAAAGACGATTTAAAATATCTCTATTTAAAACAGTTTCTTAGAAAGGGACAGCTAATCTTCGTAAATCAATGACTAGTAAAATATGTCACTGCCGCCTTAATTTTCAAAAATAAACGACTATTTCTTCTAAAATGGCAGAATTTACGAGTACTTGTCTCCAGATAATTCAATTAATAAATCGAAATGACTATCTTTGTAAGTCGAATTTGGGATAAATCTTTCCCTTCATCCATTTATAAGACAAAGAAAATGGGTAGTCTTTAAATGTCAATTATCAATGTCTCTATTATAATTAGCCAACTAGATCATAAGATACATTCAGCTGAAATTCTTAAGCTGCCAGGTACATCATGTGAGTTCGTGCAGGATAGAAATTGAATAATTCCACAAAATTATCCTCTTGTATCTTATATAGTGCTGTGACATTGCGTCAGTTCCCATTTTTTAACATTTATTTATCCAATAGTGTTAATCTTCGATTCGTAGAAAAAAAAAATCCAATTTCATTACTATGAAAATGATTTTAAACGTTAAAATAAAATTTAAAATGTTTTAAACAGAGGATAATCGTTTTATTTGATACTGGTAGAATAAGATATTTTTCAACGAAGGTTCTCTTAGAATTTAGTAACGTAAATAGTTAGTTAATTAGGATTAGAATTATAATATTGTATCAATGACAAGTGGTTAAATGGCTTCATTAGTCATTCATTGTTTTTAATTAATTTAGAAATCTAATTAATTTTAGGAGCTGGATATAAAAATAGAATAATAAGGCATTAATCCATTTTAATAGCTTTTTCGGTACAATTTGCAGCTAAGGCGCAACTGTTTCATCTGGACACAGTATATATATACTTATAATATTGCCACTTATATACAGAACTTTAATAGCGTTATTGTCTAGTTATATGTACTCTATATATTATTATGCTTTATATTCTGCAGATAATTTGATATAACGCTTGAGATGCTAGCGTTGTAATCTCAGTATAACATATTGGTGCTATATTTATATCTCATTTTTTGTTAGCCATCTTCCGTCTATCACAATAACTAATTGATTGAAGACAGAACTGTAGAAGTCAATTGTTATTTTTTTATATTTTGGCAGCTATTAGTCAATCTAAGGTAATTTTAATAGGACTAGTGATCATTAGTATAAAACAATTTATAAGTCAATTATCTTTCACCTGCAAGATACAATTTAATTTTTGTTGTTTTTATAACATTCTCTATTCCTATGGAATCAATGCCCATAAGATCCATCTCTTAATACTTATTAAACTGATGATACGATTTTCATATCATTGTTTCAATTTAATCATGATCGGAATTATTTTTGAGCCGATATTACAGTAAAATTAATACAATAATATAATTGAGTAATGGATTAAATATCTTAACTTATTCCGAGAAATATTGACAACAGTTATCACTATAATATGGTTCTATTATAACTTATCGCTGTGAGATATTAGTGTTCACTATATAATAGCTACTTGAATGATACAGTGGTTTCTTATGACAAAAGTTGCTAAAATTTTTACTACTGCATTTATTATAGTGGCCAACTGTCTGACATTAAAACATTCTCATTCTGCGAATCAACGATTTGATAGTTAGTTCACTGGTTATAGTCAACATAGGGATAGGTGCTATTATTTTTACACGTTTACTATATTATCAATAGTTCTGACACTATATCAATTTAACACACATAATTATTACAAAATACATTCTAGCGATGTTTAACTTAAGCCATGATACGGACATAACTTCTAGATGTAATCAAGTCGATGACCTGCATCAGGCATTATTAACATAACAAAACAATTCAAATTAGGATAAATGTGTCGTTACCCCTCCTCTTTTCCCACTTAGATAGATAAAAGAATAGTGTTATCTTTTGACAATTATAATTAATTGAAAACGGCAATAACCATGTCTGAGGGGTAAATTTTATTCATAAAGGTTTTTACATGATATCTAATGATTTAAAGACCAATCGAGGGTCGAAGCATTGATATTAGCATGATGATAGTAGATAATCTCATATTTGCTCATATTTAGTCTTTCCAGATTAATCTAAAAATTGATGAAATAGATCTCTCATGACAATAGGATGATGAATAATTTTAATAAAGTATTTAATCCTATTTACAGTATAAAGGTAGTGCGGAAGAATGACTTGAATATATGAGTTAGATAATAACGATTGTTTTTCATAAGACAATTACTATTAAAATAATTGAATTACCTCTAGGGGAAAAGTAAGAAAAATTCTTTGGCTATATTTAACACGATTAGCTCGTCAACGGGTTAAAGAATTGAGATGCGATTTATGCGGCTAAATATAAATCAAGATTGTTTTTGAATATTAATTATTATTGATGGAATTCTCATGACCAAGTTAACCGTAGCGTAATATTTTCTAAGTTGTATTGAAGAGAAGAAGAGTACGGTACCGATAAGTCTGAAGGATATTTTAGGTCGTATAAATTGAACTTGTAGTTAAAAGTAAAAACATAAATAGATTAAGTCCGTTACCGATAAAGTGCTATCAACCCAATGAATATAACGAGACTTCTATCATCTTCGGTATCTAATATTTTTAGTGCTTCATTTGGTTAGCATACGGAAGAAACGTTTGCAATCTCGCACGAAAAGTAGTATGCAATTACTAGCAATAATTTTGTAGTATTTCGCGACTACAATGTACAATGACATCATAAAGAAATAAATAAATGAATAGCCTAGAAGATTATTTAAATAATAATATAGGGATATCATCGCAAAGGTTAGGAATGATGAATCAGGAATCATTCTAGATACTGTACGTATCTTAGTTCACTACATGACTAGGTAGATATATGATAGATAAATAATGAAAACGAAAACAAATTTACATTATTGTAAAATTTACCTGAGTTATTTGTATGAAATTAAGCTGATGGTAGTAGTAATGATCACTGGTAATAACTAACATCCAGTTTTGGGTGCAATTCTAAGTTTATTTACAGTTAGTAAAAAAGGAGATTAAATTCAATGCTTTATATCTGAAACCCTATTTACCAATATTAAACTAATACGCCTCTTAACAAATACGATTGCGAAAGTTTTAAATACAAAATCCTCATGGCAATGAAATGTATGGCTTTCTTTACCGGCTTTGCTGACAATTTAAGAATTGGAAAATGTCTCATTTATATATGCCTGCATATTTATTTACTATTCTTTAACATTCAGATCTGAATTTCTTGCATTACATAAAAGTGATCCAGTAACTATTTTTAAAGGAATTTTTAATCACAGTTGATTCATAATAGGAATAGATTGTCATCCTGTAGGTTCCAAAAATTTAGATCGATTTTATATCATGTTATGACTATTCTTAGAATAATGTGCGTCTAGTTAGGAAATGTTATTATTTTACGCTAGCGAGGCATATAATCAGATTTATTAGGCGATAATGATTTCTCAGAATATTGCGCTACTTACTGTGCAATTGACGTTATAATAATCTGACTTGTGGTAAATAGATGTTTCTGGCCATGATTGAAATTTACAGTTTGACTTATTGGTTGTTTAGCGATAATATTTTAAACTAAAGCAGTTTCCAAGTACTTAACTATCATTTTTACCTTATGTCCTTGTCAGTCGTGCTAGAAGTGTAAAAACTATCATGTTGTCTTATTTCTATACTTGTTTCTAAATAATTTTCAAATTATCATTTTATTCTTAAAAGTTTTTAAAGTCGAAATTTCATTTAAGGCAAAATACGAATGGATATTTTAAATTATAGGTTATATTTAAAACTATCTTTGCTTTTTGCTTTATGAATAGTAATTGCATTGCTTGCTGGCCGTCTATACGTCCGACGAGTTATGCTTCGAGCACAAGCACTGGGCATGACTAAAGGCGAATATGTTTTCATTTCTTTTGAAATTAACATCTCCTACGATAATATATTTCGTAACACTACATGGCTAAATGGCACAGGAAATACTGAATCAAATCAACAAGCTATCGAAGCATATCGTGCACTATTAATTTTCGCTGTTGTAGTCGATTTTGGTGATGATTATGTACAATTTACAGAAAATGTCAGGAAGCGAATGTCTGATCCACCATTTAACGTACCTAAGAATCAAACGGTAATATATTTCTATTAAAAGGAAGTGATTAATGCATTTGAAACTTCTAAAATTTATCCATAAGATCATTTTTAAGTGTTTAGTCTGATTACTGATTTTGCAAAGATATCTTTACTATCTAGCAATCGGTATTTCTTTTATTTTAATTGATCATGGTCATTGTATTTGAAATAAAATATATCTATACTTATTGTAGATATCACACATTTTTTTATTCCATATGCTAGGTTCCAGCGGGTGTCTATGTTAGCTTATTGTATGATGCTGTTATGTTATATGCATATGGACTAGACTCTGCTTTGAAGCAAGGAAATTCAGTGACAGATGGGCAAACAATTACTAAATACATGCTGAATGCAACCTTTCAAGGTACAGATAAACTAATTCTGTTCGTTTGATTCTGCTATAAGAGTTTCCAAATTGATTAACATTAAGTATTGAATAAGGAAGTCCAATTTAAAGGAAATATGTAAAACAAACAATGGCATGCCATAGCTGTTAATCATTTTACATATTTATAAATAGTTAATTTTGATGAGAAACTAGAAAGTAATTTTAATTTCTCTATATTCTTTATAACTATTTCGCTATGAATAGGGAAGTCCGGTTTCATGGCACTAAATGAAAACGGCGATCGTCGAATGAATTATGGCATTTTCGATTTAAAGAACGTTTCTGATAATCCATATTTTGCTATGGTTATTAAATACATTAGCTACTCTGATGAAATGATTATAAATAAAGAATTTGGTGGCGAGATTGAATGGGCTTACAATAACTTTACAACTCCGAGAGATGAACCAGTTTGTGGCTTCGATAATTCAAAGTGCAGACAGAATGATCAGACAGGTAAGCAATGCGATAGAATAAAACATACATTACTTATAGACATAAATTGCTCAAAATGGCAATAACGCATCAATTGTAAATGATAATTAATAGAAAAAATCTTATTTCTATTATCGCGCTACAATTATAGCTAGCATCATTGGTTCAGCATTTGGTGCAGCCTTAGTTATCTGTATTGTTGGTGGATTTTTTTGGTACAGGTATGCAGAGTGCGCAGATACTAATCTGAATATATTCTATCGTAATATCATCTAAATGATATATTATAACTTCCTATATTTAGGAGAATGCAGTATCTGGCTCGATTAGCTGGTATGCCATGGAAGATTAATCCAGCTGATTTGATCTTTTCACGAACGGTGCGATTATTTAGATACAGCCAAGAAGATTGTTATAGCAGCCATGAGTACTAATTTTCAGTAGCCTATCACTAACAAATGAAATGCTTTAAAAGATTTTGTATAGCAATTTAATTATAATCAAATAAAGTAGAAATTTCTACTTTAGAGTAGCATTTAGTACATATTTCTAACCAATGATTTATCTGCTTGTTAGATGGTTTCATGTCATTTTGGAGGATCTATGGGATCAGTTGGCCGTCAATCTCAGAATTCTAATGCCAGTAATGCTTTACAATTATTTACAAGAGTAGCAAAGTATAAGGTAAGATTTTAACTAATAGAACAGCAATCACTATAATCGCAAATGATATTTATTTACTTCGATTGTAATGAATTGATATCATTTGATTTTGTTGCATCAACTTCATCGGTTAGTAGATATCGATTTTTTATGTAATTTTAGAGTAATACAGTTGCTGTGAAATTGGTAGAAAGAACTCGAAAATTAGAGCTTACCAGGGATATTATGAAGGAATTCCAAACAGTACGCATCTATTAATCGCCATGTATATCATACTTAATAATAACATACTATGTTATTTACTTGTTTGTAGGCGATTCATTAGCTGCTTTGTTACTTTATTACTTATGACAAATTTGTAGTTAATTCGATTTCGTTGCAAATGGCATTAATTTATAGCAATCTAATGTTTATATTTTGTTAATTTTAGATAATTACTTAAGTTTACTTAATTTTTGATTACAGTTGTATGATATGCACCATAACAACATCACGACATTCATTGGAGCTGTAGTAGAGGATATTAAAACTCAGGTTGTCACTCAGTACTGTCCCCGAGGCAGTCTACAGGTAAGAGCATTAATAAAGTAAAAATTTACGTTGTATTAATGATTCTACTATGAAGTAACAGAAGAAATCAAATCTTGAAATATAAATTATCTTAATCCAGTAATTCACTATAATATTATACTTACTACCTAAATTATAGTAAAGATATGATTAATACACCAAACATTTGATCATTCTAGCCATATCATCTAATCTGGATCACTGTATTTTTTAATGATTCTATCAATTGTCATTTACCTTAGGATGTCTTAGAAAATAACGATATTGAATTGGATATGAATTTTAAGATTTCTTTTGCTACTGATATTGTCCAGGTTAGAATAATAAGTATTGTAGAGTTAAAAATTGAAAATTTAACAATTTAAAACTCTAGTGCTGATATTTAATCTTACCATTTAGGCAATGATTTACTTGCACAGTAGTGATATCAGATCTCATGGAAACTTAAAATCATCAAATTGTTTGGTAGATAGCCGTTGGGTTGTCAAAATTACTGACTTTGGTATACCATCGATTAGAATAGTAAATCGCGTCAGTCATGATAACGGCGAACATGCTAATTATTCACGTTAGTATCAGCTATCAATTTTAACCCCTCTATATTAATAGTATCATAGTATTATTCTGATACTTTGTTCAACACATCACCTATTAAGTCTTTTCAATCAATACTAGTATATGACAAAAAGTAAAATTGATAATAAAGTACATTAACGGTCGAAAAAAATCTGTAAAATATCAATAGGTATGCTTTGGACCGCTCCTGAATTACTGCGAATGACAGAAGCACCAATAAATGGTACCCAACCAGGTGATGTCTATAGCTTTGCAATCATTATGCAAGAAATTATTGAAAGAGGTCCACCATTTTGCAATAGTCGACTAACACCTAAAGGTAATAATTTATTTCTATTTTGAATCTTGCTTTATATCGAACTTCCAATCTTGATCATATCTCCTTTCCTTGTGCACGCGTAAATGAATTCTGTTGATGTATACTATTACATCAATTGTACGGTTTTAAATTTTACTTTTCAGTATGAGAGAGTTTTGTTTTAAGATTATACTAATAGCTTCTATCAAATTCTTGTGCAGAGATTATTAGTAATATTATGGAGAGAAGTGACGGTATTATCTTCAGGCCTACTCTTCCAGACAATAGCTGCCCACCTGAAATTAAAGATATAATATTTCAATGTTGGAATGAAGCTGCACATCTTAGGCCTTCTTTTGCTACTGTAAGAAAGTTGATTAAAAAATCATCATTTGGCAAGTAAGTAACAATATAGTAACTTCGGTAGTTCAGTATTATCGATTATTAAGAATTATTGCTAAATTATGATTAACTACGAGTTAGAAACTGTTGTAAATACTCATGTTTTTGATGTCATAGAGAGACCGATATCATGGAGAATATGGTCAACTTACTAGAAAGATATGCTAATAATCTAGAGGACATTGTTGAAGAAAGAACTCAGCAACTGATTGATGAAAAGAAAAGAACAGATGAATTGTTATACAGAATGTTACCGAAGTAAGTCACTATTTAAATAAGTGCTGTGATCTTTGGATATGTCAATATTGTAGTTTTTACTAAGATGTATTTCTGATAGCTAGAAACAGCATTCGATCAACGTAGATGATGTAATGTATAATGTTAATAATATTGCATCGATTAGTAAATTGTTTATTTAGTAAAAGTTTGATTTTATTTATCATATTTTAACATTTGATCTATTAATTAATTAATCAATTAATTTAATTTTGCAGATCCGTAGCAGAACAGTTAAAGTCTGGCCAATTGGTGCAAGCCGAAGCCTTTGATGAAGTTACAGTATACTTCAGCGATATTGTCGGGTTTACAAATATATCCGCATCAAGTACACCAATGCAGGTTAGATAATCTATCAATAATAATCTTACGAAAAGATGAAGAGCTAATAAGTTGAAGCAGATAATTTAATTTATACTGAAATTTAGAATAAATTATAATCTACGCCCTTGTATTTTTTTGCGTCATGTCACTATAGGTGGTAGTACTATTGAATGATCTATATTCGTTATTTGATGAAATTATCAAAAACTACGATGTCTATAAGGTTAGGCTATGATAAGACTAACTTAAAATTTGTGATGAGATGGGCTATTTAGTATAACTATTACAAATTGTAACTTAGGTGGAAACAATTGGAGATGCTTACATGGTCGTTTCAGGCTTACCAATCAGAAATGGATCCCGGCACGTTAAGCAAATTGCTAACATGGCTATTGAGTTGTTGGAAAGTGTTAAACGTTTCAAGATTAGACATATGCCCAATCATAAATTAAAACTAAGAATTGGTATTAATTCAGGTAAGTTATTAATTATTCCGTACATTACTTCAAATAATAACAACTTTAAGATATTTTTATAATTTTTAAAATCTTAACAAGATTAGCTATGATACGTATTATGTACTGTTACTTCCTTATGCTTATAAGATCGAGGTGTGATAAAACGAGTATATGTAATTTTTATAACAGGCCCTGTGGTAGCAGGAGTAGTAGGCAAAAGTATGCCACGATACTGTTTATTTGGCGATACTGTTAATACAGCGAGTCGAATGGAGTCCTATGGAGAAGGTAATTTAGATTATGACATAACGTAAACGTACATGTTATAGGACGCTCGAATTTATCAACATCTAGCTTAGTGCTGTTAACACTGTACAGTCAAACAATGTTAACTGTACGCGACCTTTAGTTAACGTAATGATTAATGATAATTAAATACTCTTTACTTTAATGTTATCGCTAACAAATCGATTTGTTGTTAATTTAAATAGCATTAAGGATTCATGCCAGCGAATCTACATGTAAACTATTAGAAAAAGATGAAGATTATGATATTGCACCGCGAGGCGAAATAGAAATCAAGGTAAGTAATTTACATTTTTAAATATGTATCCATGACTCTAATCGAGTTAAGAAAAATTAATCATTTTTTAATAGTACAGTACTGATTCACGTGAATCGATTATTATAGGGAAAAGGTGTCATGAATACATACTGGCTAAATGGAAATCGAACAAATAATGTTATGGGATCCTTAGATGACTGTAGTTTTAAGGGTTCTCCTACACATTCACCGGAACCATTTGATAATTCCGTATAAATTTATACTTGTAATTTAAGTAGAAGTAATTGTCGGAGCAATACAAAAAAAAATTTATAGAAATATGGACATAGCTAGATAAAACTAGAAAATGATAACAGAAATTATATCGCTAAGATTTATAGTATATCCTAGATGAATAATAAAATATTTCGACTGACAATCATTTCACCTCAAGCAGGATGATAATGATCATGATGAATAGGACCAGATCAGATCTATTTACATCATTCTTATTCCGCGACTTGCTCTATAACAATTTTTAAATTTCGTCAAATCGTTCCTGTAAAATACATCTCTTTATTTATGCTCTTGCTTTCTTCTAATATTTATTTCATAATACAATCATTATACAATTATTATTAAATCGATTGCTACTTAGCTTCAAATAGTTTGTTACTTTATACAATCGAAAAGGCTCTATATACCGATACTTTTTCGCTTTTTCTTGACTGATTTGTTTATTTCTTGATTAGAATCTTTTATTATCATTATTGAGTAGCCACAACTAGTGTAAGCTCAGCTACATTCAATTATGACAATATCTTGAAAAATGGTAGTAATTTATTATTCAGTTCTAAAATCTTTAATAGAAAATTAAAGTAATTATGAAATCGCGATATGACCAACTTTTATGCGAGTAGTAGATACCCATAGATTGAACTGGAAATATTGGATATCTATCTATCTCTCTATGTATATTTATTGCTACTATTAGATTGAAAAGAAACCTTTCTTGCTTCTTATTAATTATGAATTCTTTGACGGATAGATATGTATTTAAGTATGCATTGGATGAAGACTATTCCGTACCATTTCTGTTCTATGGATATACGTCTTGATGCATCGATTAGGCTATTTCTACCGACACAAATAGCCTTTGTATGATCTTGCTTGAATCTTGACGCATTTGTCTAACATTTTAAAATACTACTGCTATAACTAATAATAATAATATTAATAATATTAAATAATAATAATGACTATAATGATAATAAAAGTTCACGTTTAATTTAACTCGGTATGGCTTTATAAGAAAAACATCCTAAATTTGACTGGATTTCACCATATCAGCCAACATCTACAATTACTTTGTCAAGCTTAACAGAAATCTATGCTACATCTCGAAATTTATTTCAAATTATGGTAGAACTTTCAACACACATTCCTGTTATGATTTGCTGAAATACCTACAGAGCTTAACTCAAAGGGAAGAGAAGTCTGTAATGTGAGCTCATCTTCGCATGTCTTAAATACATTTCATTAAGTCCATTTAAGATAATATAATTAACTGCAATCAGACTTGAGTCATCAAATAGAATACTTTTCCTCAAGCAGATCATCACTCTACAATCTAAATCAAGTTACTTAAATTATCTCTACTCTTATATTAATTTCCAGCACCTTTCGTCGTTGGGCATTTCCACAATTACAGTGTTGCTAGTCACACAAATCTTTTACCATAATTAGTCAATTGGCTAATATTAGTAATCAACATTTTCTAATATAGTAGTTAGCAATCATCTATATATATCAGCGTCAAAGTAATCTCTATTCTTAGAGGTCTAACTTTATCATATATAGCTATCATTATAATCAAATAAGAGGTGCATCACTACAATATCGCTGAGAGTTTATAATATTCTTGAAAATATTATTATCAAGATCAGTGAACAGCGTTGATATTATTTTTATCACAATGATACTACTCATTAACTCTCATAAATAGGTCATTGTACTTTTTAATTGGGTGAAGATAATGACTTTTATAAAGAGGCCGTCGTACATACATTATTATTGTGGAAGAGGTGGGGGAGGTCTAAATTCCTTCCAACATCTCTGACTACATATAAAGTATATGCTATATGTTATTGTCGCAAAACAGCTTAACTATCGACTCTTTAGGTTCCTCGACTAATTCCGGGGATCCTTAGTAAAGGAAAAGTAACTTATTCCTATACTAACCACTTATCACGGAGCATCAAGCTCCGTAACAGTTATAATTTACAGTATATAAGGTATAAGATTAATAAGCGTACATATTTGGAACTATTAGATGACTATTTATTGGAAATACCGCTGCTACCATAGATCACTAGAAGAAAGTCAGTATTCTTCTAATAGTCCATAGTTGTAGGAAGGGCTGCCACTATCGCAAAGTCTTTGTATCAGTAGTGTGCGATGCAAAGGCTAACAAAAGTTTTGAATGATATGATTGTGATGAAAGTATCAGTCCTTTCTGTTCAACTTTAAACTTTCCCTGTTATTTCATTGAGTTGAATCAAGTGTACTATCACATGCAACGACAGCAGACCATGAAGAAACCGTAGTGATCGGATAAGATCCAGTATGATGATAACTTTTATAGCATATGCCAGCGTACGTGAATATTTAAAACATGCAATCTTAATACACTAGATAATATTAATACAGATAAATCAGATGGAATGTACCATTTCTATTTCTATACGTTATAAATTATACACTGCAATATCTAGAATTCATTATGCAACATTTATCACGCATCCAATACAAGATAATAAGTTACGGCGATACAATACGGCCGATATTACGATAGCTACATGCGTAGTAAACAATAACGTGCATAGTGCCCCGAGGATAAAAAGATTGTCAATGTGTGCTATATGATTAGTTAACGGCAAACAATCTGATAATCCATATCCTAGCTTTATTGATTATCCCTTATCAAGTTTTCATCAGTAAGTATCTCGTATTAGCTCCAATTATTTGTCTTAATTCTAGCTTCATTAGGAGAAATAAAGTTTTCAATAGTACTACGTATATAATAATATGGTATATAGAATATCGAGAATAATGAAACAGTCGACATACGCTATGTATCCTGTATCTTCAGTTAACGACGCGATTTGATAATCCATATTACTGCATTATAATTATCGATTAATTCCGTTATCAAGTTTTCATCAGCAATTATCTCGCATTAGTTCTGGTATTTGTCAAAACTCTAGCTCCAATAAGGGCCAATGAAAGTTTTCATTGCTACGAACATAGTAATATGGTGTATTAAGTATCAAGGATACTAAAACAGCGTATGTTCACTTAACGGCACGATTAGATAATCCACATTATTACGTTATAATTATTGATCAATTCCTTCATCAAAGTTTTCATCAGTAAGTATCTCGCATTAGTTCCGCTCGCTATTTGTCAAAACTCTAGCTCCAATAAGGGTCAATGAAATTTTTCAATAAGACTATTGATATGCTGTAATAATACGGTGTCTAGAGCGCCGAGGATAACAAGACAGTCGATATTCGGTACGTATACTGTAAGTTCAGTTAACGGCACGATTAGATAATCTACGTCATTGCATTGCTTTTGTTGATCGTTGTCAATTTTTCAACTGTAAGTATTTCGTAAGTTCCAATATTAGTCAAAACTCTAGCCCTGAGTTGGTATTCAGTAGATATCTATATACTCATTTATTCATCTAATAGTCCTTAAATATCCTGAATTTGTGTATCAATACATTCAAATCGGTACGGTAAGTTTAGATTTTTGCTGGAATCCATCTTAGTTTGTTTACAATAGAAGAGTTTGAAAAATTTGTGTTTGCAGTATTATCGATGATGAACAAAGTCTCCCGGTTAAAGCAGTCAGTTAAACTCAATAAGTAGATCAATCAAATAGCGTTAATCGTGATTCTATTAAATGAATGATAATTTCAACTGCAAATAATTAATTCTGAATTCTACTGCAGTCGCTAAATGATAAATATATCAATGCTCCATATCTTGAAAACATAACAAGAAGGGCAATTAGGGATAGATGAATAACGGGTCAAGTCATTATTCTTGTCCGATTTGTCAGTCTCGTCTTATCTACAAGTTGGTCCAAAATGATAGATTGCTGTGCTATATATGCTTTGAATGATTTTATTTGACTATTTACTACAGTTGATTAGCAAAATTTGCCATGACTTCTGCTTATTTATTTTAAATGGGTGGAATCTCGCTCATGATAGATGTTGTTTTCCTTTAGCTATACTTTGAAGTGGTTTTATTTTAGCTATTTACTACCCCTAGTATACATAACTTGCCGCAATTTATAGCTATTTTGAACTAGTATAACCCTCGATCGTAATATTTTGCTTTTTTTTACTTGACAATATAATACTCATTGTCACTTCGTCCTGGTGTTCAGTATACTGTATCGTGTTACTGTATATGCAATTGCACATATGATTTAGTCTGGTTATTGTACAGCATGTACACTTATTACTGTAAGGTATTCTGATCAGTATAGCTTGTACATAAATTCAATTCAATATTGCTTTCGTGTACAGTTTTGATAGATACACGATAAATTCTCAATTAATGATGCGATTTTCGTTTACGATGATACTATAGTAAAGTCATGGCATGCGAATGAGATTTCACACAATATTTACTTATTATTCTAGTTATGCACCATGCAATAATTGTCAATATCGGTATTGCTATCCGTTAACAAATTCCAAACCCTACTTCATTATCAGATAAAAAAATTAATTACAGACCATTAGCATTTTAGTTCTATAGCGTTGCAATCGATCGATGGCGGCCTTTCACATGAGAATTTACGAACATTAAAGCAATTTTTTGATAGCCATTCCTTTCACCTTTAATTCTATAGCCGTCATATATGAAATTTTCTTCTATTTTATAGTATAAAAGGAAAGAATAAATAATAGTATACAGCATATAGTATACAAGTATGTAAAGGATAAAGGATGCTCATGTCTATTTTTAAGCAAACGAACATGAGCAATTTATGACGTATGTCTACATGTTCAAATGTTTATAATTTTCTATCGTTTGCTACCTACTATTGTTATGTCCCATATGATAGGCACTTATGAAGCTAAGCGATATATTACGTTGTATCAATCATTCACTCATTGCTAATTTCTCACACTTTCATTTACTTATTGTTCGACAACAGTGAATGCTGCTAGGAAATTCACGCAAGCAAGTCCTGAAATTGCCAATTTTTTCCTTAGTGACAACTTTTTGATACAAGTTCTGAAAGCAAAGTTACCAGCATCAGTAAAGTATTTTATTGCTAGTTTTGTTTTCTATGTATCTGGCATATAATACCCCAAAATATATGAACATGGTTGTATTGCATTGATTTAAACTGCTTTTTGCAACTTCCCCTGCACTTTACTATCATTTTTTCTCGCTTAATCGACAATATTTATTTACATTAGATTATACAATAATAATTAATTCATGATCGATGTCATTCTTCATCAGTATCAAGCATTTTCGTTACGATTGAGTTTAATTGTGCTTTCATTGAAATCTGGCCAAGCGGACGAATTCATTGAAAGTTAATAAAGTACATAGACACGTAGTTTACAAAGCGATATTTTGCTGTACATGTTCATATACATGTAAAAATGAAGACTTATCGGACTATAAAGCCAAAAACTCTCCCTCCGAAGATGGTTTCATTAAGCAGCGATCACTGTACTGTATATTAATCTAAAATTAAGTATCCGCAATTAATATCTAGATATTACGCTATATTACAAGACTGAAAAATCGCATATTCGGAAGAATTACAAATAGTCTAGTAGATACTACAGTATACAGCTAAAATTAATAAATAATAAAATGGTAAATTAAATGTGCCTAAATGATAATCTGAAAATCTTCCGTGCTCTATTAGGTGTATAATGGTATTGTTAAAGACTTAACCCGTTTTGGCCATCGTACAGCTACAGATATATTAGAAAACGGACGTCAAGCCGAGTTAAATCCACCCCAATTAGTTACACATGATGCTTGGGGACGCCGAATTAATCGTTTAGAAACATCCAGTGGGTGGAAATCGATGCATGCTGTCTCAGCTCAAGAAGGATTAGTAGCAATTCCTTACGAAAAAAAATATGCCGAATGGAGGTAAGTGCTCAACTTTAGATGAATTACTTATACCACTTTCGTGTACATATTATAAGTGTTACTTAAGTATTTTATGTCTTTACATTCTATCCTTAAGTCTGGTAAGACATTGTATACCTAAGATTTACTACAAATCCAGATGATTTTATATTTATTCATTTTTATTACGGCATGCTACAGTAAGAAAATAAAAGGTGTTAAAGGATATTAATAATATTTATTGAAATATAAATACCGGTACCCAGTGGATTGACTTGATAAAATAATTATATGAAAATAATGAGCCGTGTTCTTAAATTTATTCCATAGCCGTATCTATCAAGTTGCAAAGCTTAGCCTTTTTCATTGCTCATCTGGATTGTATACGTGTCCATTAGCAATGACAGATGGAGCAGCAAAAGTTATCGAAGTAAATGGATTGGTTATTTTGCCTTAAGCTATTTCAATTTATATTTTCGCCAAGACTGCGTTTATTCTATTTGTTATATTTTACACGTATACTTGTACTGAATAGACACGCTTGCTTTTAACTACTATAGGGTATCAGAAAGGAAAAAAAATCTATCTATCTATTGAATGCTTACAGTCGACTTACATCAAGAGATCCCGAACAATTTTGGACATCAGGACAGTGGATGACAGAAAAACGAGGTGGATCTGATGTTGGTAAGTATAGGTATTCTAGTAAGTAATTTCAATTCGATTATTCTATGTAGTCTAACAATGATTTGCCTAATCTGAACTAAATACGTGCGCATTTACGATGATGGTTACAAGGAAATACTGAAACGATAGCAATCAAATATTCGAATGGACGTTACAAGTTATATGGAGATAAATGGTTTACCTCCGCAGTTGATTCTAATATCGCTTTTACGCTTGCTAAGATAGCAAATGATAAGAGCAATACGCCTGCTGTAAGTTATTCTTATTATGCAGTATAAAAATTAATCGTATGAAGATGCAATAAATCATTTAGAACTAATATTTCTTTGACTATTGGATATAAGTACACAAACACGCACATATACCTAAGATTATTTATATGTTATTAGGGTGGGGACAATCCATCTTTATTTTATCTTGAAACCAGAAATCCTGATGGAGAACTAAATAATATTAACGTCAATGTAGGTTCTCTATTCGAGTTTTATTTCATAACAAGAAATTTCATCCTAATTAATTTATTAAATACCGTATACATAATTTGAAATAGAACACGTTAAGCTTTAGACTCGTAGAGGTTTCTTATATGGCATTGTTGTCCTATGAACTTACTGACAATGATAGCATGCTAGAATAGTTTATTACTGTGACAAAAATTTTACCAATTTGAAATATTGTAAAGAAATATTCCTGAATAGGAATGCTTTCCTTGCAAGGTATTGCAGATGCTATCATTTATGTTTTCTAGCAAGGGATAACAAAATATTAGAGTAGAGTGTTCTCCAATGATAATCGACATGATTATATTGATGAGAGCTTTACTTCGCTTGCTAAATCATGATGGTAGTCTGTGAACTTACGAATATATTTATGTAAGATAATACAGACAGTTATAATAGCTACGATGATACAATATGACAATCATATCTTCTAGTAGTTCCATTATTTACCGTTTGATTATCTTCTACTTGATTTCAACCGCTTCTGGAACTAGAGATTGAAAAATAAATTAGGTACCAGACAGCTACCCACAGCAGAACTAACGCTTGATGGGACTATAGCAGAAAAGGTACAATACAAGTAAATAGGCTGCTATTCTATAATAGCTAAATGCTACGTATGGTAGAAGCCTATTGACTTTATTATTGAAATTGATTTCAACGCAAAATCACCATTTCGTTATACATTTACGGTGTTTAATAGGTTTCAGAAGATGGTCGCGGTGTATCTGGAATATCTCCAATGCTCACTATTACTCGTCTTCACAACTCTATCAGTGCGGTCGGATCCATGAGGCGAATACTTACCTTAGCTGAAGCCTATGCGAAGCAGAGAACGGCTTTCCGCAAATACCTTTGCCAACATCCTTTACATGCTCGAACATTGACTCAAATGGAGGTACACGTCGCAAAACATTTCCATAACTCCTACAGCTTGTATAGATCTCAAATTTCTAAAATGCAGACGCTTAGCTTTAAAGTGCCTTTCTTTCAATTTTAATCTTAGATGTTCGAATAATAAGGATAATAATGTGTACCATGTGTAGCTGGGCTTAAATAACTGCTATCGTATCAATCTAGGTCGAATCTAGAGGTGCTTTGCTACTTGTTATGGAGCTTGGTCGCTTAATTGGATTAGAAGAATGTGGCAAAAGTAACGAACAGAACTTAAATCTTATGAGACTCTTAGTCCCTATTACAAAGCTTTATACTGCAAAACAAGTGAGGACTTGTGAAAAAACTCTCAACATATAATTATCCCGTATGATATCAATTCAAAGGTATTTACTTTGATCGATAGGCTATGCAAATTGTATCGGAAGGGTTGGAGTGCTTTGGTGGTCAAGGATATATTGAGGATACTGGTTTACCGACAATTTTTCGTGATGCACAAGTACGGAATAATTGCATTAAAATTTAAATTGTGTATTTTTAATATGTTAGCAAATTAATTAAATATTAATGTGAATAGGTGCTACCCATCTGGGAAGGGACAACTAACATTCTGTCTTTGGATGTACTTCGATCTCTGTTTAAGTCCAAAGGCAGTGTAAGCGAATTTGGTCTACTGAATTTTTAATAGATTTCTTTTTTTATAGAATTCTAGGGTTATGTTAGTATTGATCCTATACTTTGTCCTAAATAAATTATAGGTTCTACAAGCATTCTTATCGTCCGTGCAAGAACGGCTTGCAATAGCGATGGCAGCAAAAAGTGAATTGCAAGATGTTGCAAAAAGTGTTGGTACAGCAGCTGAAGCCATCAAAAAGTTTGCCTACCAAGTAGAGCAGCAACATGAACAATTTCTAGAAGTTGCCGCACGTGACTTTTCATATAGTTTAGCGCGAGTTTTTATGGGTACAAGATTGACCTATGTTGCATTTTTTAGAACTTGCTACTATTATTGAAAAATTGTTAAATAGTAAAATAACTTGCCCAATATCAAATCCAACTATTACAGGATCTCTACTTGTCGAGCACGCTGGTCATATTGAATCTGGAGAAGTTGACCTATTTATTGCCGAAAGGTAATTTTTTACTTTATATTAAATTAATTGTAACTAACGCAATTTCAAGTTAGTTTACTGTGTCAATTTGGTAGATTTTGTGATGCTGACTTAACTCCAGTGGTAACCTTATATCAACGGGATTGTTATAGCGCAAATGCAATTGATCTGTATAATGAATCTATTGCTATATCCGAATAATGCTACGAAAAAGAATTGTCACATAAAAGCCGAGCCCTTTTGCAGTCTTATTTGCAAATATCTGAGCGTAAACTCTTTGCATTTATGAAAAAGAAGAAAAAATAGTAATAATTATCAACGTAATTTGGAATAATCAATTAATTAATGATGCTTTACGTACGAACTCTAGTTAATAAAAGAGTTGGAAGCTTTTATAGTTTGATTTTTTCAGCATGGTACTTGTTAGCCTCGTGCCATTATTTTTTACAGTACTATGATAATACGACCAAGCATATTTGCATCAGTATATCTCAACATTTTTGATTAGATAACAAGAGTATTAACTGAATATTTAACAGTCGAAATCGGTCCCTACTAGGGCCCACTTCAGCAATAATTTGAGCAAGAATTGATCAGAGATCGATAGAATTTCAATATTTTTTAAGGATTCCCCTTAGATTAGGTATTGAAAGTCCTACATTAAGTGAAAATTTTAAGCAAAAAGCTTCATATGCGAAATCTTTCGAAATCGATTGTGGCATTAGATTATTTCTTTCAGTAAATTCCTGTTTCCGATTAAAAAGCTGGCAAATACTGCTCTTGAAATTTAACTCAGTCCTAATATTAAGGGAATTATACATTTATAAGACTTTACATTGGCTAACAGCAACACATAGTTTGAATAATACAAGTACATCATTTTATCACGCCGGCCATCATCTACAATATCTACAATTACTATATTAAATTGAGTTGCGCATTTATCTATAGTAATTTACTACGTACTAACGAACCTGCATAACATACCATGCAAATGACAGTTCTGATAATAATAGTAATTCATGTTATTTTTAGCAAATAGTCAAATCTTCAGCACGCACATATCTTGTGAAAACCATACTTTCTAAACAGATCGCTCTTGTAGTTGACTGAAATCACTGCGGCTTGCTCATCCAATGGATTAAAAATGATGAAATTGATTGTAGATTTGATCATTTGATTTTATATCACCTAGTTTGTTTGCATGAAGAATTGAAATAATCAATTTAATTTTCATATCCAATTCTTTTTTGTTAGAAAATCATCTATAATGCAATAGTAATTTAAATGACTTTAGATGAGCATTATTTGAAAAATGATCATTATAGTACTGTACAGTAAAGTAAAAAGACCAAAGATGCAGCAATTAGATATTTGTATTCATATATGGCAGTGTTACATTTCTGAGCTAGATCCCAACGATAAATATGGAATACAGTAAACCACCCTTTTAACCCTTCCACATTAAAGGATAAAGTCATTTATTGTGCACGGATGAGATATAATTCGAGCTAGCTCTGTATTTTTTAGTTAATCGAATAGTTTACATCAATTAAAGGAGAGATTCATTTTAATACGTGATCAATCCTAGAAGATCAACAACCCACTCAATTATATGGTGATTTAGTTAAGAAAGATCTGCTAATAATTTAAAACTCGAACGAAAGACATCGGAAACGACTTTCAATGATTATCTCTGCATATTAATCTGTAAAGAATGATCTTTCCAAAACTCACCTGACACTAAGTAGTATCTGCTATTGATTTTATTTCCTAGATACTGATTTTATAAACTGGAGCTTTTTTGTATCGGCGCAAAATGACGATGTAACTAGTCAATGCCGTAGGGTAACAGAACTCAATTTTTTTGGTCTTTTAAAATAAATGCTCATAATTGCTAATGCTCATTGATTTACTGCATTTATTGCATTTACTGCAACTTTGCTCGGGTGGTAAAAAATAGCAATTTTCTACCAATCATTTATGAAGTATTGATCATTAGGTTTTGTACTAAAATTATTTTCTATATTGCATAACAGCAAAAAATCATGATAAAGTTAAGCTTTAGTAATTATAACTTGATAAAAAAAATGACGGGATTTAGTGTGTATATTCCCATTTTATTCTTATGGCAATTTTATGGTTAAACAGATGTAAGAAAACCGATGTAATCAAGAACTGAGAAAGTTTTATCCTGATTTAAACTATAGTTATTCCTTTCTTACAAAATTTAAAATCTTAATAATCTTATGGAATAAATTATAATTGTTGAAGGGTAGGTAAGGTATCAGCAATTTGTATGTAATATCCTTAGCTGAGATGCCATTGCACAAACTAATGGATACGTGAAGATTGATATTTAAATATTATTAAATTCTATCATGCAAAGGATGAGAGTAATACTATTATCTTAAAGTGTTAAAGAGTGAATACTCGTATGTGCACTAATGCATTTTATTTTGTATTTTATTTCAACCTAAGCTAGAGGAAATGATGTGCCAACAAAATGAAATTCTCATAAGGTTAGGTTGCGACTATTGATTGAGCACAATACTATGAGTGATTCTAGTTTAGTAATAAGCAATTTATGTCAGTTAGATAAGGTGACTGAAATAATTCTTCGCTATTAATAAATTAATCGTCATCAGTAGCATACTATAGCATAGGAAAATTATTAATTGCAATAAACATGATTCTTAATTATTTAAGGGTATAAAATTTATGAAAGTCAATTTTAAGCTAATATTGACAACGAATTCAATAATGGATAACAGAAAGGTAAATGATTATAATAAATACTTGTGACAAATTATAGCGTATTAAATCTTTTGTCTTATAGGAAAAAGTGAGCAATTGCTTACGGAATTTAACTTAACTACACTAATCTATGTCTTCGGCAATTTTAAGCTGATGTGATAAAAGTTTACAATCATAAGAGGATGGTAAGATATTTCGGATAGTTCATCGTACAGGATAAAATTAAGGCTTATCTGAATAGATAGAGTTGGTTATTTTGATCTACAGGATATCGCCGTAAATGATAAAGTCCAATGGAAATGAGTAAAAAAATGCTATTATCAACTTTCAATTTAATGTTCACGAATGAATGAGCTTGCTGTTTTATTGCTGACGATGCTTGCGGGCTTAACTTGTGTTCTCACGATGTTACCAGTGTATGGCGATGTTTGAAAGATGAGAATTTTACCCACACCACGGCATAAGCAATTACTCGTTAAAATTTGCTGAAATGATTTTCTAAATGATGTATTCATGACAGCATAAATGAGAGGATTAACACACGAGTTGAAATAGCCAAAAGCAACTAAAACATTTAACGGCTGGCGCATGGAATTGGATAATTCCTTATTAATCCTATAACTTATTATGAATAAACCATAAACGATTGTAGCTGGTGTCCAACATAGAACTAAACACCCTAAGACTAATATAATCATTTTGATCGATTTTCGCTCATTTTTAAGGCGTTCTTCTCTATTTCTAGCCAACGAATTGCCAACGGCTTTATTATGAGTTTTAATACGTCGCCATATTAGCCCATAGCAGAACATGGTGACAATAGCAATAAACCAAAACCAGACAAAATGCATCAATGCAAACCAGATATTGTACTTCCAATTAAAGACTACAATGCATGTTTCAGCAATGGCAAATATCCACAGCGGTGGTATGATATATTTAACTTGGGACCACTGCAAGCGTGCTTTTTCAGGATGTACTATGCCACGATAGCGATCTACACTAATAATGGCTAACTGCAGTAGAGAGCAAGATACCGCTGACAACGCTACTTCGCCAGCTACAAGAGCAGCCAATGGACGTGGATCCTGAAATAGGCTAAATAGCGCTAATGGCACTGTGATTGTACAAACTGCAAGATCGGCAATTGCTAAAGAGAGTATAAAACCATTGGTTGCTGTTTTCATATTATGGTTCTTAAAGATTGCCATGCAGACTAGAATATTGCCAATGGTTCCATAGATGAAAGTAATGGATAGCGTCGGAATAAGGATAATTTTACTAGCTAACGAGATGTTGCCTGCGACTAATACCATGATAAAATACCCAATGAGGTTGGTAGAAGCAAAGGGAATAGATAAGGTGATATAAAATCCAAGGTAGATCTTATTTAATGTTGAATTTACGAAAAATTCTTCAACGGTAAGGATTGCTTGATAATACTATGAATGATAGTTTAATGAAGAAGGCAAATAGTACTTCCAAAACGATTTTACGTAGTTAAAATTGCAATTTTTCAGCTTACGTGAGTGTAGAGTTTAACCTCTTTTAAATATGCAACGGATTGAATAATTTACGTTTGGTAAAAATTGAAATTGTTCGATACTTGAATCGTCTAGTTGATGCTAATCTCTATTCCCCACGCAAATGACCAGACCAAATCCTTCCTAATAGTTTAGAAAGTTATCATTAACAACCCATTAGCAATAATAGTACAACATACGAACTGTATTATTATCTTATTTTGCCCAACTTATAATATATTAAATTAAGTTAAAAATTAAGACACAATATAAATGGCAAATTGCCTCTTTCTTTAGTCGATTTATATTTAAAATATTAATTAAAACGAGGTCAAATCGGTTTATCTGATAGCTAAAATAAAGAATAAAATTTTAATAGTAGAAAAGCAACGATTTTAATTCAACATGATATCGGATGAAATTAGAGTATGTTTAACGCTACTTTTCATAGATATAAATGTAAATCAGCTTTCTATATATCCCTAGCAATCTTGCAACCATGAAATTTTCTCGGTTTTATACTATCAACTGTGGCAATGATATAGGAATCTACTGAATTAGGACTACATCAGCATAATGTAACAATTAAAAGTATGCTTGATTTAATTTAGAGAATCGTTAGCTTCACTAAATATTAATTGTAGCAACGACCTTTGTTGATTAACGTAGTTACCTTTTTAGACCTCAATGCAAAAGTTCTCCTCCTTTTTGTTTTTCATAAACGAACGGAAGGTACCGTAATTGCATTCAGTAAAAATTTTCTTCAAGCGATGATCTTATTTATTTATGCAAAATGACATAGTATGAATTTCAAATATTCGCCACCAATGGAGGTAATTTAGCTTTAATTAGTTTAACGAAAAGTCGAATCTTAATATTGGCGACAAGCAGAAATATAAATTATGGAGATGACATCAAAGTTTTTCAGTGCTTCAGATACTGCAAGAATGAATAACTTTCAGATTATATCTGTTACACTTTTGATTAAATTTGATGTGATTGCAGTTGGATATACAAGTTGTGAGATAGAAAAGGATCTTTAATAGAAATATCGGGATTACTACCAGAATTGATCTTTTGGAATTTGAAACAGAATAAAATTACTTTCAGCTAGAATTTCTCTTAGCATTAGCGCAGATCTAGTTCCTTCTTAAACCCACTCGACATCGGATGAAAACTAAATTTACGGCTGCAATGTTAGCTTAAATAGACTGGCTCATTTGTACTTCCTTATGATTTATTCTGTCGTCATAGTTTTCATAAATCAAATACAACAAAAGACTACTCGTGATATTGGCCATGAAAAATAGGTCGATTACTCTTCCATGTTGTAACCAGTTGATATTATTTATAACAATAGTTGAAATCAGGATTGGAATTCTAACTCTATTACGCCATATTTTAACTATTGTTCCATAGACCAGTTGGTTGATACCACGCGAAAAAAACTTTAGAAGTATCCATAATAACCTTGAATAGGATAGAATAACAATAACAACATCACGAAAAAATAACAGGAATTATCAAGGATAGGCGAAACGATTGTTTGTTAAAAGGAAATGGACAGTTCACTTAGTTTAATATCGTTACCTGCCCAGGCATTTTGTATACGGAGATACTGTAGAATAAAGTGGACGTGTGGAGACGGAAATGGAATAAAAAACAATGCAGTCAAGATGAAATATTTCGTCAATATGAATAGTTTTGTCTCGCCTAAAAAATAGACAATTGAAATTTCTCCTTGATATTTTTATCACCTAGGTAAATGCAGGATGGGCCTGCTACAAATTTAAATATTTAGTTAGTTGTATAAACGAATTCGATTGTAAAAATTGCCATTTCAGCATAGGAAA